ATATTAAAACAATAGGAAAGGAACACTAAAAAATTAATTTCAATCAATTTTAATTTAAAATTTAATCGAGATCTGATATAATTATTATATGTCATGAGATTTCTAAAATGTGCATAGTATAAATTATCTTTTGACCACAGAATATATGGAAGAAAAATAGTGCAGTCATGGTCTTTGTTCACCTTTATTTGCAATTTCTAGGCACTCACATGAAACTAGAAGAAAACAAAAACAAAAAGTGGAAGTCCGACAACCATGTATGATTGATGAAAATAATGGAGTTTTACTCTTTTTTGAAGGAAAATGCCTGAAGACCGACTAAAAGAAAAGAGAGAAGAAATTTAATTATGAAATGAGATTTTACTTTATAGTTATCGTGTTGAAAGTGTTAGTTTTGTGGAAAACAAAAATAAAGTCTTCTTTTCTATTTGATTTTATACACAAGATTCGTACTTATGGGATCGAGTTGGTAGAACTCAAGGTTCTTAACCTTGTGGTCGAGGGATCGAGTCTCATAGGGGACAACTCATAATTCTGACTACCGAAGGTCTTCCACGGAAGCTGCTCTCAATCTGGTGTTGGGGGCAGCCTACTACCCTACCTCCCCTTACCCCATTATATATAGGAATAGGGTTAGCTAATGACTCGTACTTAAATCGTTGTAATATTTTTAAATTTTTGTCCGACATTATGAGGACATTGAATTTGACATGTGGTTGAAATTTGATCGTTAAAATGTTGCATAAAGTCTTAGTTCGCAGAAAATTCAAGTTTTTAAGTATTTTACACGCATTCAATTGGAATTTTGGATAAAATATACAAATGGTTTCCCGATTAGAGAATATTGTTTATTGAGTCTCGCAACTGTTAAAAGCTACAAAATGGTCGTCTTTGATTTTTTTTCTCATCTATCAATCCTAAAAATGGTGTAAAACTAAGAGTTTCACATTAGGTATAAGTGGAAACTAACCCGTATAATTATATTAAGGAACACTAAAAAACTAATTTCAATTGATTTTAATTTCAAATTTAATCGAGATCTGATATAATTATTATATGTCGTGATATTTCTAAAATGTGCATAGTATAAATTATCTTTTGGCCACAAAATATATGGAAGAAAAATAGTGCAGTCAAGGTCTTTGTTCACCTTTATTTGCAATTTCTAGGCACTCACATGAAACTAGAAGAAAAATAGTGCAGTCATGGCCTTTGTTTACCTTTATCATTATATATTGACCGCTATTCTATTACTCGACCGCTTTTTGAATCCTTGGGTTAAATGTTTAAATCTGTTCACATCGGAACTTCATGGATCCCTACCAAGACGGTGACCTCTTGAGAAATCGCATGTGACCTTTCCTTTTTCGTTCTGAAAACTATTTGTTCTGTTGCTTTTGTTTTCGTCTGGTCTCTATTTTCTTAACTGCCCTCTCGGTTTCAAAATTTTGTTCTTATTAAATCGGATCTACACATCGTATATTTGAGTAAGTCTTCTAGCAGAAAGTTTTTACATATACAAATATTCGAATTCAAAACATACTTGAGTTTTTACATACACATCGTATATTTTGAGATCGGATTATATCATATATCAATCAACAAGTTTACGTCCAAACTCAAATTGTCATCATTTTTTTACGGAAAAATAACGAGTTTGGAGCACAATGAATAGTCATGAGACCATTTTGTAACTTTTAATAGTCAGGAGACTTAAAAAAGTAACGACTTATAGTCTAGGGACCATTTTATAACTTTTAATAGTCGGACGACACAATAAAATAACACTCTATAGCCGGTGACTATTTATATACTTTAAAGATTTCTACACGTTAATTAAAGATTTCTACACTCTATAGCCCTAGTAGAGTCCTTGTGTATGCAGAAAATCCTTGTTGGGAGACTCACCCATCAAAGCCAAGGGTGCGACACGGATCGGTCTGGATTAGTCAAGACGAAGCTTTAGAACCGGAAGGACAACAAAAATAAAATCTTATTTATGATAAAATTTACAAAATTATTTAATACTCTCAAAAATAAAATCTTATTTATTATTTTAATGTATTTGTGAATTGTTACTTTGGAGTTTAGACTTTAAAATTACTTCATACACTCTTTTGATAATTTTTTATTAAATTTATTAATTTATGTTTATATTAGCTCTATATAATATTAGTAGATTTTACCTATAGTTAAGAAAATAAGGTAAATATTTCGGTGAGCTTAGCTAACAACGAGGCAAGCAATGAGCATCGAGCTTAACGAGCAACAAACTCAATGAGCTTAACGAGCAATGAGTTGAGCCACAAGTTTTCTTAACGAGCACGAGTCAAGCAAAATTTTAACAAGCTTAACGAACAACAAGTTGAGTTGAACAACAATTTTTTTTTTAACAAGAACGAGTCGAGCATTGCCCAACTCGATAAAACAATGTCATATAGTCGAGGGACCTTTTGTATATTTTACCCAAAAGTCCAATTGAATGCGTGTAAAATACTTAAAAGACTTAAATTTTCCACGAACTAAGACTTTATGCAATATTTTAACGATCAAATTTCAACCATTCATGTCAAATTCAATGTCCCCATAATGTCGGACAAAAAATAGAAAATATTACAACGATTTAAGTACGATTCTTGTGTATAAAATTAAATAGAAAGGAAGACTTTGTTTTTATTCTCCACATAACCAACACTTTCAATACGATAACTATAAAGTAAAATCTCATTTCATAATTAAATTTCACAGAATTTTTATTTAATTGAATAAAAAAGATAATTATTTTACTTTAAAGCTATCAAAGGTTTTGTTTTTCTTGTCAACAAAATTAAAATTTTGAGTAAAATGTATAAATGGTCTTCCGACTATAGGATATTGTTTATTGAGTTTCGCGACTATTAAAAGTTATAAAATGATCGTCTAACTATATGACTAGTCCTCCGACTATTAAAAGATACAAAATTATTTCATACACTAAAAAATCAAACCTTATTTATTATTTTAATGTATTTGTTAATTGTTACTTTGGAGTTTAGACTTTAAAATTACTTCATACACTCTTTTGATAATTTTTTAATTAAATTTATTAATTTATGTATATATTAGCTCTATATAATATTAGTAGATTTTACCTATAGTTAAGAAAATAAGGTAAAAATTCAGTGAGCGTAGCTAACAACGAGGCGAGCAATGAGCATCGAGCTTAACGAGTAACAAGCTTAATGAGCAACGAGTTTAACGAGCAACGAGTTGAGCAACAAGTTTTCTTAATGAGCATGAATCGAGCAAAATTTTAACGAGCAACAAGTCGAGTCGAACAACAATTTTTTTTAACGAGAACGAGTCGAGCATTGCCTAACTCGATCGACTGCTTGATAATCACCCATACTTTCTACACGTTAACTCTATAGTAGAAACACATTTTTCATAATTATATTTTAAATAATTTTTATTCAATTGGAAAGTAAAGGACAAAACAAATAATTATCTTACTTTAAACATAAAATTATCAAAGATGATACACATTTTAAATCTATACTTTTTTTAATTTTGAAATTTTAGTCCCGACTCAAATAATATAAAGATAATATATATTTTTTGGAATCAATAAAAAAGTAATACAATTGAATTATAGAAACATAAAATGATTAAGTTTCAAGAACGAGAATTAAACCTATAATTTATGCATTAAACATGCATTTATAATAGGATAATATATCCACAATTTATGTAATAACATAAGTAGTAATAGAATAATTTGACCATTTTGTTTATGGGGTCCATTCATACAATGGCCCTTTCTTAAGAAATTTCCACCCATATAATTTTCCAGGAATACTTTTTTTTAAAGAGGGTACTTTGTATTAAGAATGGACAAAGTACACCACCTCAATGACCTCATTAAAAATCTTCCTAATCCTAAATGAAGGAAAAAGAGTGCATGTGGTAGGGACATGAACACGCTTTTTTAAATACAGATTAGAACAAGTATGCTAGCTGCCTGTCAAATTTCAAAGGTCGTTGTCTTGTTCAAGATTTCCAAACCCCAAATTGAAGGGTGCAAGTAGGTGCATTGTAAGTAGGTAGTGGCAAGTGCAGGGGCAGGGATAGAACAGATGACTGACAGTCGTTTCTCTGAAAAAGTTAAATTATCATATAATAAAAATATTTTCTTTATATTTTTTATTGTTATTATGTTTTTGCTCCTCTATAATTTTATAAGTTCGTCTCCTAACATAAAATCTTTGTATCTGCTCTTGAGCAAACACTGTCAGAGTCAATATATATTAAGTCCAAAAGTTTCAAAAGTTTCTTTTTTACCCATATATATATATATATATATATATATATGTGTGTGTGAGAGAGAGAGAGAAAAAATGAAACCTCTTTTAGAAATATTTTGATACCATTTAAAAAGAAATTGACTCGTATTTAAAAAACATTTAACAATAAAAATTTTAAAATTCAATTTTTTCACTTAAAAAATTCTTCATATAATTTCTAAATTTAACAACCCAATTTTTTTCTAGCTCCGCCCTTTGAGCAAATAGAAATACTTGATAAGTCCTTCATTTTAAGGCATTTTAGTTGGTCTCACGGACTGTTTCAAGTTTAAGATTTTGATTACTTTGCATCATCTGTATGAGCCCCATTACGATGACGAACGCTAAATACAATTATTTATAATTTATTTATTTTCCTTTTTTGTGGGGATTAATGTAATTTCCAGGAAGGAAGCAATGGAAAGGAGACTAAGTATGGTATTGGGGTAGATGATAGAAACCACATTGAGTCATAAGTCAATAGTTTGTCGGTGCATGGGAAGGCTGATGTATCAACTTCCAAGTCTTGCTTTTTCCTTAGTCTTGGTTTCATATTGGAATATATTATTCCAAATTTTTTTAGGAATTAAATCAAGGGTTATTTTTTTCTATAAATAACAAGGTGGATCAAGGGTTTATTCAAATCATATGCATATAAGTTCAAAGTAGCTGAGAGAGATGATGATGATGATGATAATGGAGTTGAAATGGTTTATTAGGATAGTTGTGATGAGTGTGTTGTTGGTGTTGGAAGGTACTACTACTTATGCTTGTTTGGAGCATGAAAAAATTGCTCTCCTGCAACTCAAACCTTTCTTCAATGGTTTCGATGATCTGAATAACTGGGATGAGGTGAAGATCCCTAATTGCTGTCAATGGAAAGGGATTGACTGCTACACCACCACCGGGCGACTCATAGGACTCGACCTTAGATACACAATGTATGGTAACAAGGGGTGGTATCTGAATGCCTCTATGTTTCTTCCCTTTGTGGAATTGAAGAGTCTTAATTTACAAAGTAATGCCATTGCTGGTTGCATTCAAAATGAAGGTCTTGCCCTTACTTTCATCTTTTATTATTCCACTATACACAGCCTTTCATAAAAAATTAGCTGTTGTTTTGCAATTACCCATAATTGTTACGTTTATTCTATTGAAGAAAAGCCACTAACTCCTTTTATGTATTTGAAAAATATTTTTGCAGGTTTTAAAAAACTCTCAACTGCGTTGAATAATTTGGAGATTCTTGACTTAAGTGGCAACCAGTTGAATGATAGTATCATGCTATCTTTGAGTGAGCTTTCAAAGGGTAAATTAAGTTAATTAATCAAATAAACTTAAACATGGAATATTATCATTTATTTATGTTATTGCAGCAACTAATATGTTCACATCAGATTTTATAATAATGCTTATTTGTTTTTCATTTAAAATAAGCGTGTGAAAGAATTTGCAATTTGAAAAAGTAATAAATGTGGGTTTGGTGAAAACATTTCATCATCAATTAAAGTTTTAGATTTACCTTTTTTCTGTTTTACTGTTCATTAAAGTTTTGAATTGATATATATATATATATATATATATATATATATATATATATATATATAGGATTGAGTAATTTGACAAACTTGAAGTACTTGGATTTAAGTGGGAATCAAATAGAAAGCCTTCAATCCTTCAATGGTATGCATTTACATTTGATCAATTGTCTCAGACATAAATAAAATTTATGCTAATCTTTTTTTATGATTAAATTATGTAAATCAATCTTTTATAGATGCTGGTACAAAACTGAAGCAGTTTGCCCATTTAGAAGAGCTTCGTTTAAATGGGAATCTCTTCAACAACAGTGCATTTTCATCCCTAAAAGTGTTTTCAAATCTGAAGAATTTGAGCATAAGCCACAATCTGTTAAAAGGATCATTAGATATGAAAGGTAAAAGCATCTTTTTTCTGTCAAAATTCTTCCAAGTCTGTTAACAAAACTATTAATAACGTTCTGATCAATGGAGTGTATCTCTTATTTTTCTTTTCTCAGATTTGGATATATTTACCAACTTAAGGGAACTAGATATGAGCGCTAATCAATTTAAAGACATTGTGATCCACAAAGGTATCATTTAAATAAACGTAGTTTTTGCTTAAACAAAGTAATTATCTGAAAATGATCCATCAGGTGGATTACTTATATTAAAAATAGGAAAACTAGAAAAAGATAAACTGTATAATTAATAAAATGAAAGAAGAACCATCAAGTTGGTCTAGTGGAATAAGACATTAGGTCACTTAAGCAAGGTCAGGGGTTTGAATCCGGATGTTTGCGAATGAAGCAAACTGGGTTGAGAAGGTAACATTCGCATCTCCAGTACCTGATCTGGATTAGTCGGTTAATAGATCGGATACTTCAAAAATTAAATAAAATGAAAGATAATTGTAAAGCTTCAACATAAAATTTTCATTATTAAAATATTTATCTACTCCTTTCTCTCACAGAAATTAAGGGATTGAAAAAGTTAAAAGTTGTTTATCTCGATGATGCTTTCACCGATGGAAGTATTTCGCTGCTGAACTTGGTCGAGGCTTTTTCAACAGTTAAGACCTTGTCTCTAGTTGGCAATCATCTGAACAAGTCTATGAGTACTCAAGGTAAGTCATTGTTTTTAATTCCAACTCTACTTTATTATGTTTGATTAACTTCTAATACCAACTGCCATTTATTAGGATTAAATCTGTCGACGAACGTGGAGGAAATACATCTCGATGGGTCTACTCTCAACACTAATATTTCACAGAGCATTGAAGTAATCACTTCTCTTAAAACTGTCTTTATCTGATTGTGGACTTATTGGTTCCTTACCTAATCAAGGTAAACTTATGGCTCAAATCTAGACCTCATAATTTTTTAAATATAGTTTGGGTAAATTACATGTTTAGTACATAAACTATCAGTTTTTTTAAAACTATACTTAATATTTAGTTTTTGTTTCATTTTAGTACATTATCGTTGAACTTAAACGCATTGCATTTTTATGGGTAAATTTTATCATTCATCACTCAACTATCTTCTCACTCCTATTTTGGTACTAAAGTTCAAAAAATTTCAATTGAACTACTCAACTTTCAAATTACTCCCATTTTAATCACACTAATATATTTTATTAATAATTTTTGTGACATGACATTTTTTATTAAAAAGTTTGAGTGATTAAATCAGGAGTAGTTTGAAAGTTAAGTAATTAAATTAAGAAAAATTAAACTTTAGTGTCCAAAATAGAAGTGAGAAGATAGTTGAGGGTGATGAATGATGCAATTTACCCTTAAAAACGGTGCCACTTGCAAATAATCGTTTAAGTTTTTTAACAACGGGATACTAAAACGAAACAAAAACTAAAACTTAGGTATGGTTTTGAAAAATTTAAAAGTTTAGGTACTAAAATTGATAGTTTATGTACTAAAATTGATAGTTTATGTACTAAATGTATAATTTACCCATATAATTTCTAGAATGTATCTCTTCAATATTTTTTCATCAACTTTCTTTTATTTAATATTTTTTTCAAATCAATTTTAATTAGAATTTCTATTACAAAATTTATAATATTTTCAGGATGGTGTGATCTAAAAAAGCTTGAAATATTGGATATGAGTTGGAATACACTTGAAGGGATGCTTCCTCGTTGTTTGAGTAACTTGACTTCTCTTCGTGAGTTATATATGTCCGACAATCGACTCAGTGGAAATCTAATTCCTTTAACAAATCTTACATCACTTAGATCCATCGATCTTTCAAGAAATCATTTTCAAGAAAACAATTTGGTAATGGAACCTTCCTCCTCTACGCCCATCCCAAAGTTCCAGCTAAGAGAGATCATTTTGTCAAACTACATAACATCTCAAGAACTCAGTCTTGAGCTTCCCACCTTCCTTCACTACCAATATGACTTGAGAATTGTAGATCTTTCTGGAAACAATTTCAGTGGAACATTTCCGGTTTGGTTGTTAGAAAACAATACGAAGTTAGGGGAGTTCACCTTGAATGGTAATTCTTTTAAAGGTCATCTCAGATTACCATCAGTTCCTAATTCTAATTTAGCTTCATTTGACATATCTGATAACAAGTTACAAGGTCAGATTTCATCCAACATATGTTCAATTTATCCACATTTGGTAATCTTATTCTTATCTAAGAATGCCTTTGAAGGTAACATCCCTCCTTGTTTAAGTGGCATGAAGGATTTATAATTTTTAGATCTGTCAGACAATCAATTGTCTGGAAGAGTACCGGAAGAGTTGATCATGAAAAGGTGGTTGTTCGGCTTGAGACTATCAAATAACAACCTCAGCGGAAATGCAGTTCCTGCGATTCTCAAATCAAATTGTTTGTCAAATTTATATTTGGATGGAAATAATTTTTCTGGAGAGATGGTCAACGTTGATGTCTATACTTTTCAGTTTCCAACTTCACTGGAGGAAATTGATCTCAGTAATAACAAGTTGTATGGAAAGCTCCCAAGATGGATGGGGAACTTGTCAGATTTGCGGAGATTGGCTTTGTCTAACAACAGTTTTGAGGGTTCTATTCCAATAGAGTTTTGCAGATTGAATGGCTTGGAATTTTTGGATCTTTCTCGAAACAATTTATCTGGCTCTATACCATCCTGCGTCAATCCTCCAGACATAGAGCATGTCCACCTTCATGGGAATAGACTGAGCGGTACATTGTCACTTGCTTTTTATAATAGCTCTTCACTTGTGACATTAGATCTTGGAGAAAACAATTTAACCGGTAGGATTCCGAAATGGATTGACACTCTTTCTTCTTTGAGTGTCCTTCTGTTAAGAGCTAATCATTTACAAGGTGAAATTCCAGTTCAATTATGCAATTTGAATTCCTTGAGCATTATTGATCTTTCTCAAAATATGTTTTCTGGCTCTATACCTTCTTGTTTGGGAAATTTAACTTTACAAACGCAAGAGAAAAAGATCATACAACATGAGGAAGTGATAGATCTTGCAACAGAGGGTGGAACGACAATAAAGCATGCCTTAGCCGACAGCTACATTGAAGAACGGATAGATTTCAGAACAAAGAGTTCGTTCTACTCGTATGGGGGTAACATTCTTAAGTACATGACCGGGATTGATTTATCTTGCAACAAGTTAACTGGTCAGATCTCACTCGAATTAGGAAACTTGAGTGAAATCTATTCTTTAAACTTGTCACACAACAACTTGGTCGGAGTTATACCCTAGTCGTTTTCAAAACTTAAGCAGATTGAGAGTTTGGACCTTTCCTACAACAAGTTGAGTGGTGAAATCCCAAACCAGTTGGTGGAGTTGAACAATTTGGAGGTTTTCAGCGTGGCATACAACAACTTGTCAGGCAGTATTCCAGAATCGAAAGCTCAATTTGGTACCTTCATTGAAAACAGTTATGAGGGGAACCCTTTTCTCTGTGGACCTTTACTGAATAAAAGTTGCTCTAAAGCCGATGCACCATCAACAGAGTCAATTCCGTAGATGATGATGAAGGAGAAGATAATTGGGTAGACAAGTATGTTTTTTGTGTGAGCTTTGTGGTTTCCTATGTAGTGATGTTGTTGACAGTTTTTGTCGTGCTTTACATAAATCCACATTGGCGAAGAACTTGGTTTTCTTTCGTTGGGAAGTGTGTCACTACCTGTCGCTATTCAACCATGGGAAATTTCATTGTGTATCACACTCCAAAATTTGTGCTTAGCTGCCATGGAGATTTCATTGAAGTTGTTTCGTGCTGATCCAAGGAAAAGAAAGAAAATTTGATCTTTTGATCTGATTGTTTCAAATGTGCTTGAGATGAATTGTTGTAAGTCTTTTGTTTAATTTGCAGTTTGAATAAAGCTCTTATAATTGTGAAAAGGAAGCTGATAGCCTTGGTCTTAATATTTTTTTTTGATAGGAATGAAAATTTATTAAAATCAAAAGAGAACAACTTATGAGCCTCATTAAAAATCTCCTTAAACTAATTGGAGGAAAAGAGTGTTACATAAGAGAACAATACAAGCAGAAAATACCAATACCGAAAAACAGAACTAGAAAGACAAACAAAATCGAACAAAGACAATTCCTATCTTGCTACATCAAAACCAACCGACCACACAGAACCAAAACTGCATCCAATACAAAACCCAACTCAATTTCAACCAAGCATCCACCTAACGATCCACTAAAGCACACTAAATGGACAATAATAAAACATGCGCATGACTACCAACTCAAAGTTCTGGGAAAACAAAAACCGGGCACCCCATACTAATTAAAATGCCTATAAAAAACTCCCATCAACGATCGATAAACGCCCATGACGCACAAATCAAATAAAAAGGCACTCATCCCACCTGAAAGCCCACGTGCACATGACCAACAACACCTCCAAGACAATGGTTCATCCACTAATTGGACAAGAAAAAAAAACATGCGCCTGACTGTCGACTCAAAGATCTTGAAAACAAAAACCGAGCACCCCAATATAATTTTAATGTCTTTTAAAAAAACGCCCATCACCGATCGCAAACCGCCCATGCCGCACAAAACAATTAAAAATGGCACCCATCCCATCTGAAAGCCCACGAGAACCATACTACCAGACTCCGAAGCAAAAAAAACGAGCCACTCGAATGGAGGGTGCAAAACGATTTACACACTAAAGAAAACTTAAAACCCCCTAGACTTAAACCCCCAGAACACGACTAAAGGAAACGCTAAAAACAACTAAAAAACCAACTCCAGAACCTCCAGAAAAACCACGACGAGGACCTCAAAGTTCAAAAAACCTACACAATCTCTACACCACGCTCACTACCCTCAACACAACTCTAACGACACTAGTTCCTCGAGAACCTTCATTTCAGGACCAGCAAACTTAATACCAATCATTTTAGCTACTGACAGAGTCTCTTCCGCTTCAACAAACGCAGCAGCCCATCTTTTCTTTAAATCTGAATCTGAAAGAGATCTACCTGATAATTCCGAGGATTCTAAATCAGTCTTCTTCATCTTGGATTTCTTCAACGCTCGATCCCTACGACTCTTCTCAGTTTTCGAGAGGACTGAGTCTTAAATATCCATCATATAACCAAATTTCTTTACCCTCTTTAAATTCCTACTGGACAGATCTAACAAAGACAACCCATCTTCAATGGCTCCCCCAAAATTTACGTTTTCAGGATTCTTCATTATACATGCATTGCATAAATCCAAAGAGTTAACAGGACCCACAAGAACATCCTCACACCTCCCCCCTGAGGCCACCAGAAAATCTCTAAGAGAAACCAATAAAATGTTGAAAATTCAAAAGGTAGGCACCGAAAATTGAAAGCAAAATCCACCTAATAGAAATTGTCAAAAAGTAGATGATTTTGTTGAATTTTGGTAAAAGGTAAATTACCAAATTTAGTCATTGTAATTTAAGGTATTTACAAATTAGTCCTTAAGTTTCAACTATAAATACCCTAACTCATTTAGTTTCAAAACCATCCCAAAGTATTCTAGCTTTCTTCTAAAACTAGAGAGAATTTAGAGAGTTGTTTTCTCCTTTTTATCAAGAGAGAATTATCATTGTTTTCTCATTGGTCGATTGAGAGAAGTTGTAATTCCTATTTTCTCATAGTGAAATTCTCTACCGTTGCCCGTGGTTTTTACCCTATATTATTCAGGGGTTTTCCAAGTAAATTTTGTGTCTCTTTTATCTTCATTTTTATTTTCTCAAATTATCAGTTGCGATTTTGCTCTATCCGATAGTTGTCTTTCGTAACAATTGGTATCAGAGCCAGATTAGAGTGTGTAATATCTGCTTATTGTCTTTGTGGTTGCCACCAAAAGGTGGATCCTCCAACATAAGAAAGTAAGAAGTTATTACACATTCTTTGAAGGTTCTAGAGAACTATTCACGATAGTGAAATAGTGGGAGCTATCCGTAAAAGAAGTTATGGCAACGAAATTTGATATTGAAAAATTCAATGGGAGAAATTTCTCATTGTGGAAATTGAAGATGAAGGTCATCCTGAGGAAAGACGGTTGTCTAGCAGCTATCAATGAAAGGTCGGTAGATTTCACAGATGACAACAAATGGATCGAAATGGACGGGAATGCTATGGCAAACTTTCATCTAGCATTAGCAGATGAAGTATTGTCAAGCATCGAGGAGAAGAAGACAGCTAAGGAGATATGGGATCATCTCACCAAATTGTATGAGGCCTCATCGCTGCACAATAAAATTTTCCTTAAGAGGAAATTATACACTCTCCGGATGCCAGAATCTACTTCAGTGACGGAGCACTTAAACATACTGAACACTTTATTTTCTCAACTTACATCCTTAAGCTGTAAAATACGAGAACAAGAACGTGCTGAACTTCTACTTCAAAGTCTATCAGATTCGTATGATCAACTCATCATCAACTTGACAAATAGTAATGTCATCAGTCTAGTCTTCGATGACGTTGCAGCTGCTGTTCTACAAGAAGAAAATTGGCGCAAGAACAAGGAAGACAGAAAAGTAAATCTGCAACAAGCAGAAACGTTGACAACGATGAGAGGGAGATCAACAGAACGTGGCTAAAACAGCAGTCACAAATATGGTAGATCGAAGTCGAGGAGCAAGAAGAATTCAAAGTGTTACAATTGTGGAAAGAAGGGTCATTTGAAGAAGGATTGTTGGAGTCTAAATAAAAACTCCAATCCACAAAGCAATACCGCAAACACTTCGGATGATGGAGATGCTCTATGCTGTGAAGCATCAACCACCGTGGAAGGTAGAAAGAGATATGCAGACATATGGCTCATTGATTCGGGAGCAACATATCACATGACCTCAAGAAGAGAATGGTTCCATCATTATGAACCTGTCTCAGGAGGATCTGTGTATAGTTGCAATGATCATGCCTTAGAGATCATTGGCGTGGGAACCATCAAATTAAAGATGTATGATGGAACAATTAAAGTTGTTCGAGATATGCGGCACGTGAAAAGCCTGAAGAAAAATTTATTATCCTACGGATTGTTGGATAATAATGCAAGCAAGATTGAAACACGGAAAGGAATCATGAAGGTGTTCCGTGGAGCGCTTGTGGTGCTGAAAGGTGAAAAGATAGTTGCAAACTTGTACATGCTGAAGGGAGAGACTTTGGTAGAAGCAGAAGCCTCTGGTGCCTCATGTAGTTCAGATTCGGCAATGATATGGCATCAGAAACTTGGACACATGTCAGAACAAGGAATGAAAGTTCTTGTGGAGCAAAAGCTACTTCCAGGCTTAACAAAGGTATCACTTCCTTTGTGTGAGCATTGCATAACAAGTAAGCAGCACCGGTTTAAATTCAACACATCAAATTCTAGAGGCAAAAGTGTTCTAGAATTGGTTCACTCTGACGTATGGCAAGCACCAGTTACATCCCTAGGCGGAGAAAAATACTTTGTCTCATTTATTGATGACTACTCCATGAGATGTAAGGTGTACCCTATTAAGAAGAAGTCAGATGTGTTTTCCACTTTTAAAAACTTCAAAGCGCGGATGGAACTTGATTCTGGAAATAAGATCAAGTGTTTCAGAATAGATAATGGAGGAGAATACACAAGCGAAGAATTTGATGACTTTTGCAGGAAATAAGGCATCAAAAGACAGTTCACAGTGGCGGACACTCCTCAACAAAATGGAGTGGCAGAGCGGATGAACAAAACCTTGTTAGAAAGAACAAGAGCAATGTTGAGGGATGCAGGCCTAGAAAATCATTATGGGTAGAAGCAGTCAATACCGCCTGTTATTTGGTGAATCGAGCTCCATCAACTACAATAGAGCTGAAGACACCAATGGAGATGTGGACTGGTAAACCAGCTGATTATTCAAACCTCCATGTGTTTGGAAGTATTGTGTACGTGATGTACAACTCCCAAGAAATCTCAAAGCTGGATCCAAAATCCATGAAATGCAAATTCTTGGGGTATGCTGATGGAGTCAAGGGGTATCGCTTGTGGGATCCCACTGCCCGCAAAGTGATCATCAGCAGGGATGTTATCTTTGTAGAAGATAAACTACAGAGAAAAGAAAATGATGATAGCACTGAAAAGTCAGATACTACACAGATACATGTGGAAAAGGAGGTTGAAGAAGGAGATTCTTCTGAAGAACCATCACATGATGAACAAGAACCAGAGAGTTCTGAAGCTCCAACAACTCGTCAATCAGATCGTGTGAGAAGACGTCCCAATTGGCACTCAGATTATGTTATAGAAGGAAATATTGCATACTGCCTTTTAACAGAGGACAGTGAGCCATCAACATACGAGGAGGCAATAAACAGCTCAGATGCTTCACTATGGATGATGGCGATGCAAGAAGAAATTGAAGCCCTTCATAAAAATAATACATGAGACCTTGTGCCACTACCACAAGGAAGGAAGCCAATTGGTAATAAATGGGTCTTCAAAATCAAGCGAAATGGTGACGATCAAGTTGAGAGATATCGTGCAAGACTGGTGGTCAAATG